AGGCCGGGTGGGGGGGGGGGGGGGGGCGGGAGGGAACACTGAGGCTGCAGTCTCCTGCAAACAGAGCCGTGCTCCGAGAACGCACCAGCCGTTTAGCTTCTTCACTACCATATCAGGTAAAATGATGAGCAGAGGACAGGAACTGGCAGAAAGGCTGACAAGAGGCCCTGCCGGCCTCACATGGGCCCTAGCAATGCTCCCTCTAAGCCAGGGGTGGCAAACATGCAGCCCGGGGACCGGATCAGGCCCCCGGAGGGCTTCTATCAGGCCCAAAGTGAAACTGGCTGTCTTCTGCGTCTTCTTCCAGTTCTGCTGCTGCTGCGTCTTCGTAGGACTGCAGCTTACAGATTCACACCTGAGCAGCATATTCAAGATTGCAACAGCACAGACATTTTGACGCAGTAATTCAGAGCAAGAGGCGTCAGTTATCAGACACTGTTAAATAAACAAAATATTGGAAGAATGCTAATGCTTTAAGCATGTTTTATTTTAAGTAAAAAAAACCCCACCCTTTGTGTTTGTGTCCTTTATAAAGTTTATATCTCCGCTACCTGGCATTACATTCTATGACACACGTGGCCCGGTCCAACAAAGTCTCATTTATGTCAGATCCGGCCCTCATAACAAATGAGTTCGACACCCCTGCTCTAAGCTAGGGAGTCTCGTGAGCAAAAAAATCTACTTGGTGAGCGACTGGCATTAAAGCTGTGAGCGAGCAATTTGGCTACTGTGTAAATTAGTTTGCTCTGGAGCCCTCCTTCCTGAGCTAAGACGAAAATCTGTGAGCCGGAGGCTAAAAATCTGTGAGCTAGCTCACACTAACTCAGCTTAGAGGGAACACTGGGCCCTATTTACTTCACCTCCCTGAATCCAAAGAACAACTTTTTGGGAAAGGGCTCAGCTGAGTTTCTTCCACAGGTCAGAGGCAGGGCCCACGAGAGAAGGAAAAGAGCTGTGAATCGTCAAAGGTGTCTGGGAAAGGACAGCCACCTGGGCTTTTGTGTGCCCCCGGGGCACATACCAGGAAGACAAGAGCCCTGAAGGCTTCTTTGGTGGTAGACAACCAGTGTTCCCTCTAAGCCGAGTGAGTGTGAGCCAGCTCACAGTTTTTTAGCCTCCGGCTCACACCTTTTTGTCTCAGCTCAGAAAGGAGGGCTCCAGGGCAAACAGATTTATGCAGCAGCTGAATCGCTCGCTCACAACTTTAATGCCAGCCGCTTGCAAAGTAGAATTTCTGCTCACAGGACTCCACAGCTTAGAGGGAGCGCTGTCTGCAACCCGGATCGTGACTGCCCTCGAGAAAAGAAACATACCTCTGGGCTCCCCTCCCAATCCCAGAGTGCCAGACAACTAGAGAATCAGACTGGACATTTCTCTCCCCCACTTTCTCTCGGCCGCTGATGAAGACATTTACCTGTGCAAATCCGCTTCTTTGGCGTCTAAGAAGTTCACTGTGTATTTAACAGATTTGGCCATTAGAATTCTGATATCAAAGGTATCCTGCGAAAGAAAAAAAGCACACCGATGAAGACCGCTGGCTCAGGGTACGTGTGGGAGAGCACACCACTGGGTCAGGGGAGAGGCCTCACTGCCTTGCCGGGGGGGGGGGGGGTCGGGGGGGGGGGGGGATGCTGCCCGCTCACGGGTGCTCCTGGCTAAGCACGAACAAGGCAGGCAGGCGGGCAGGCAACACAAGGCCAGGATTCCGTCCAAAATGATTAGAACAGACAGATTCTGTTACGCAACAGGATACTGGCGGCGGAGAGAAAGCCAAACTCCATGCTGGGGATGATCGGGAGTGGGGACTGAAAACAAAACAGCCAATATTGTGATGGTCCTTTACAGATCTATGGTGCAGCCTCGGTTAGAATATGTGTGCAGTTCTGGTCGCTGTATCTCAATAAAAAGGACACTGAAAATCTGGAGATAGATACTGGAGTTTAATTTATTATATATAGTTTATTATGTATTGATGCACAGTTATTCTATGTATTTTACATATTGATGTATATACGCGTTGTACGCCGCCCTGAGTCCTGCTTGCAAGAAATGGAGTGGGATAGAAATTAAATAAATAAATAAATAAAAGTGCTGAAGAGGACTACCAAGATGATGAAGAAGAAATTGGATTTATACCCTGCCCTTCACTACCCAAGGGAGTCTCAGAGCACCTTACGGACTCCTTTCCCTTCCCCTCCCCACAACAGACACCCTGTGAGATAGGCGGGGCTGAGAGAGCTCTTTCAAGGACTGCTCTTGAGAGAAGAAGAAGAGACTGGATTTATACCCCCCCTTCACTACCCAGAGGAGTCTCAGAGCGGCTTACAAACTCCTTTCCCTTCCCCTCCCCACAACAGACACCCTGTGAGGTGGGTGGAGCTGAGAGAGCTCTGACAGAAACTGCTCTTTTTTCAAGAACAGCTCTTATCAGAACTAGGGCTTGCTCAAGGTCACATCAGCAGGTGCGAGTGGAGGAGTGGGGAATCAAACCCGGTTCTCCCAGATTAGAGTCCGTGCACTTAACCACTACACCAAACTGGCTGGAGCCCCTTTCTTATAGACTTTGGGGTGGTGAATCCACTTTCTAGAGCGTATCATTTGACCAAATTTTAGAAAAATCCAACAAAAACACTGGAGGCAGCATTTACGTCTTCTTTTTTTCTGAGTCTGTGGGAAAAGTTGCTATGTATGTATCTTGAGATCCCTGCCATTTGATTTCAGCTTTGGGGGGGGGGACCAGAGTATATGCCAAGGTTGTCTGATCACTCTTGACATAAGTGCAGCCTTCCTGGATCAAACCAAACCCCCCCCAGTCCAGCATAAGCCGGGGCCAACCAGATGCCCCTGGGATGCCAACAAGTATGCCACAAACCAAAACCCCTGCCTGTGCCCCCCCCCCCCCCCCCCCAGCCACAACAGTTATTCAAAATATTTTGCCTCTCGTTAATCCTCACTGCTGGCAGACCATTTTTCCATGAATGTTTCTAATGCCTTCTTTAAAGCCTTGGAAAACAGTGGTCATCAACTTCAGATGGTGGACTTCACATGTTAACTACTCAGTGAGTAACAACAGACTTCCTTTAGTCCAGCGGTTTTCAACGTGTGGGTCGCAAACCCTTTGGGGGTCGAATGACCCTTTCACAGGGGTCGCCTAAGACCATCAGAAAACTCAAATTTTCAATGGTCTTAGGATAGCAACGAAAATAATTTTATGGTTGGGGGTCAACACAACATGAGGAACTGTATTAAAGGGTCGCGTCATTAGGAAGGTAGAGAACCACTGCTTTAGTCTGTCTGAAATCTATCACCCGTCAGCTTTAACTGGGTGTCACCAAGTGTTAGTATTATGAGGAGAGAAATGTTGCCTTTGCCCACATTCTTCACCTCAGGCACAATTTTATAAACCTCTTAGTCTAGTGAAACTAGCATTCGCCCCCGACATTTAAAATAAAATGCTGAGAATGGCAGGGTATTCTCATTCAATGAGGTTCTTAGGAAAAAGTGGTATGGTGACAGAAATATAACCTGAGCTGCTATAAGGGAAAACAGTAGAAGAAGAGAAGAAATCGGATTTACACCCCGCCCTTCACTACCCAAGGGAGTCTCAGAGCAGCTTACAAACTCCTTTCCCTTCCCCTCCCCACAACAGACACCCTGTGAGATAGGCAGTGCTGAGAGAGCTCTTTCGAGGACTGCTCTTGAGAGAAGAAGAAGAGACTGGATTTATACCCCACCCTTCACTACCCGAAGGTGTCTCAGAGCGGCTTATCTGGAGATAGATACTGGAGTTTAATTTATTATATATAGTTTATTATGTATTGATGCACAGTTATTCTATGTATTTTACGTATTGATGTATATACGCGTTGTACGCCACCCTGAGTCCTGCTTGCAAGAAATGGAGTGGGATAGAAATTAAATAAATAAATAAATAATAGTGCTGAAGAGGACAACCAAGATGAAGAAGAAGAAATTGGATTTATACCCTGCCCTTCACTACCCAAGGGAGTCTCAGAGCACCTTACGGACTCCTTTCCCTTCCCCTCCCCACAACAGGCACCCTGTGAGGTAGGCGGGGCTGAGAGAGCTTTTTCGAGGACTGCTCTTGAGAGAAGAAGAAGAAACTGGATTTATACCCCACCCTTCACTACCCGAAGGTGTCTCAGAGCGGCTTACAAACTCCTTTCCCTTCCCCTCCCCGCAACAGGCACCCTGTGAGGTAGGCAGGGCTGAGAGAGCTCTTCTGAGGACTGCTCTTGAGAGAAGAAGAGACTGGATTTATACTACCCGAAGGTGTCTCAGAGCGGCTTACAAACTCCTTTCCCTTCCCCTCCCCACAACAGACACCCTGTGAGGTAGGTGGGGCTGAGAGAGCTCTGACAGAAACTGCTCTTTTTTCAAGAACAGCTCTTATCAGAACTACGGCTTGCCCAAGGTCATCCAGCAGGTACAAGTGGAGGAGTGGGGAATCATACCCGGCTCTCCCAGATTAGAGTCCGCGCACTTAACCATTACACCAAATGGTAGATTTCTCTCTGCTTAGCTAAAAGCACCTACATCTCTACAATATGAAATCTGACTGTGTTTTGCACAGGTATGAATGTTTCAGAAAACAAGAGCAGTGCCTGGCACAGGAGAGAGTTACAACTGAAAACATATAGATAATTGATCCTTATGGAGTCCTTAATAACATCCTTTTGAAAAAGCACGGGAGGGGCAAACCCATCACCGTTAACAAACAGAAACTCTGAGGGAATCCAGGCAGTGCAGGGAAGAGGACACTTTGACCCTACAGAAAAGGGAAGGGAAGTGCTGAAGTCCACGGCAAGTAGACATACGAAATACCATCAAGACAATTCCAGATTTTCGGCCTCAACTGCTGACATTTGTTTTTCCAGATTTTAAGAAACAGGGCACCTTTTGTGTAGCTGAAGCAGCATTATGCAGGCATTCAAACCAACAAAACCCCTACACGACACGAGAACCCTTGATACGAGAGACGGTGTTTGCTCTTGGCTGAGAAATGGGCTGACGAATGGGGACACCCCGGCAGTGTTCCCTCTAAGCTGAGTGTGTGTGAGCTAACTCATAGTTTTTTAGCCTCTGGCTCACACATTTTTGTCTCAGCTTAGGAAGGACGGCTCCAGAAGAAACTAGTTTATGCAGCAGCCAAATGGCTCACTCACAGCTTTAATGCCAGCAGCTCACAAAGTAGAATTTTTGCTCACAAGACTCCACAGCTTAGAGGGAACATTGCACACCGGTGCAGATTTGAACAGGCAGCGGTTGAACAGGCAGCCACCCCTACCACTGCGATGTGTACTTCAGTCAGCCAGCTTCATCGCCATTGGCTTAAAGGCCATAACCAAAGGATCATCCAGGCAAGGTGCCGATTTTCCACAATCAATTCGAAAAGCATGATTGCCAGGACATGGTAAGTGAACTGACTGACTTGTAGGCAAGAACTGGAGTCGGAGTCACCCATAGTCTGAGACGAAGCTGCGAGGCATTCTTCGGAGGGTCGGTGACCGAAATCATCTGGAGATGTTCAGGTGGGGCAGCCATGTTGGTCTGAAGAAGCAGAACAAAGTTTGAGTCCAGTGGGCACCTTTGAGACCCACAAAGTTGCGCACGAAAGCTTACACTTAGAATAAAACGTCGTTGGTCTCAAAGGTGCCACGGGACTCAAACCTTGTTCATCTGGAGATGTGTGTAACTGTTTGCTTCCGAGCTTACCCAATGAGGTTCTTAGGAAAAAATGGTACGGTGACAGAAAAAATGCAATGCAAGAACTGGTGGGCAGTCCATGAAATTGCTGATCAGTTGGGTTAGAATGGATAAAAGGAAGTCCTTCTTCACCCAAAGAGTGATTAGCACATGGGACTCACTGCCACAGGAGGTGGTGGCAGCTACAAGCATGGACGGCTTCAAGAGGGAATTGGATAAAGATGTGGAGCAGAGGTCCATCAGTGGCTATTAACCACAAGGTATAGAGAGGATCTCTCAGTCTGGGGCAAGGGATGCTCTGTCTTCTTGGTGCTGGAGAGGGGCAACAGTGGGAGGGCTTCTAGTGTCTTGGCCCCACTGGTGGACCTGGTATTTTTGGCCACTGTGTGACAGAGTGTTGGACTGCACATGCCATTGGCCTGATCCAACATTGGCTTCTCTTATGTTCTTATGCAAGAAAGGAATGCAAACAGCAGTAGCACACACACATACACAATTGAAGTTCTAAGACAATCAAACTTACCACAACAGGCTGCCTGAAATATTCATCTACTGCTGCACCCCGAAGCGCTGACAAATCCACACCGTGAAAGGATGGCTGATACCTGCGAGATGGGGGAAAACACACACAGAGGTGGCTTGGGTGGTCTGTAAATACCAAGAGGGGAAAACCCACCTGCTGTCTTCCTGGGGCAGAAAAGATCTGGCAACTGTGGTGCGTACCCTGGACACATCGAGATTAGATTACAGCAATACATTCTACATAGCGCTGCCCTTGAGAAGTGCTGGGAAACTTGAGTTGGTACAGAATGCTGCAGATGGGACGTTGACCAGAAGGGCCCCAAACAAAGACCATAACGCTGGTCCATGTCGTGGCCCCTCTACACTGGCTCCCAATTTGCTTCCCAGCACCATTCAAGGGGCTGACCTTCAAAGCCCTATTACGGTTTGGGACTGGCATATCTGAAGGACTACCTACTCTCTTATGAACCCACCCGGCCAACCACTGCAGTCATCTTCGGAGGTCCTGCTTCAGGTGCCCCCATCTTCTGAGATTAGTCATGTCAGTCATGGCACCAAAGCTCCAGAACTCTCTCCCCAGAGAGATTTGCCTATCTGTTTCTGTTGCCCTCTTCTGCCAGCTGGTGAAGCCCTTTTTTTGGTTTTGTTCGGTATTCCCTAAGTGATCCCTCCTTCCTGGCCACGGTTTTAGTCATTGTTTTCACGTCTGTATTTATTTTCGCTTTTAACTTAATCATTAAAATGATGTGGGTGTGGTTTTGGGGGGCGGTGAATAGGTTTAAAATGTGGTTTTATTATGTCAACATTAATTTGTTAGCGGCCTCAGTAACTCGTGAGAGGGTAACTATAGATTTTTTAAAATAAAATAAATTGCTGTATCGTTATAGAATGAACACCCCCCTTCCCCAAGCCTATCAGCCTCTGCTTAACAGAGAGCATTCTGGGAAAGCCAGTGGCATCATGGGAAGCAAACTGGATAAGTCTAGAAAACAAATGCTCCTAAGCAATGTTCCCTCTAAGCTGTTGAGTCTTGTGAGCCAAAAGTCTCCTTTAGGAGCTACTGCCATTAAAGTTGTGAGTGAGCGATTTGGCTACTGCATAAATTTGTTTGCTCTGGAGCCCTCCTTCCTGAGCTAAGAGAAAAACGTGAGAACCGGAGGCTAAAAAACTGTGACTAAGCTTAGAGGGAATACGGCTCCTAAGGTCTCCCTCCCACCCTCAATCCAATCCTCTTTGGTATGAGATCCTATAAGGTGGACGTGTGTGGGTTTAACCTAGTTTATGCACCGGTTGGACATCTCTCTGCACCACCACACTAGAACAGGGGTGTTTTTTGTTTTTTTATGTCTCCCAACTAAGTTGACAGGCAATAGATTCGGAACAGAGAGAAGGGAGTACTTCTTTACTCAAGGAGCGATTACATTGTGGACTTTATTGTTTTAAAAGAGGATTTGATTCATGGAGTATGTGTCCATCAGTGGTTACTATCTATAATGGCTAAAGGGAACCTCCACATTTACAATGCAGCAAACATCTGAATGCCAGTTTTAGAAGGGGACACAGGAGAAGGCCTTGGCCTCTATGCCCTACTTGCTGGACCTCCAGGGCAACTGGTTATTCGCTGTGAGAAACAGGATGCTGGACTAGATGGACCCTCACTGGCCTGATCCAGCTAGGGCTCTTCTTAATGTTGACTTGGAGATCTGCATACAGAGCACGATCTTGGACCAAACTATGGTCTCTCTTCACACATTCCGGAGTACGTCGTTAACATCATTTGCTTAGTTAAAAACCACTTCTGTTTATTTGAAACTGACCGTATTTTTGTATTCCAACCTTGTAAAAAAGGCATATCACTTTAACTTATTTAAACAGCATATATTTTCTGATTTTTGCAGTATTGTATTATTTAGTTTAGCGCACTTATCACAGTAACAATCCCTGTGTAGAGGAATTTAAATTAAGCACCACGTTAACAGGAGATATACAGTTGGTACATAGATTTTTGCAGGACAAACAAAAACCTCAAATGCAAAGAAGTTACGGGCAGTTCTTTTTATTTCGGGAAAGGAATTTCCTTCATCAGACAACATACATGCTGAGTAGGCAAGCAGGTCAAAAGTTTAAAGCTAAAAATGATTCATGAGTTTGTTCGTATGCGTAAGAATGGAGGCAGTGAGGGCACAGAAGACGGGAGTTTCATTTCTCATTTTCAAAGAGCTGCTTCCCCTTCTACTATCGCAGTGAGCGCAAGGTCCGATCAACTGCGGAAGCTATTTTTTGTGGTGAGAAGGGACTTTAGAGCAAGGCTCACAGAAAATAACCGTAGGCTACCAAGCCTGGCCACCACCTCTGGAGGCCTCGTCAATGAGATCAACGGCGGCAGTCACTGAACGGGACTCAAAAGTGTTGGGACGGGAGGCTCACCAGAAATTCGCCTTTGTGAATTGCTCCATGTAGAGCTGCTCATCTGTGAAGGGAGCTAGGTGGACATCTCCAATGGTGGGGAACATATTACCTGAAACAGAAAGGAAGGCAGAGGTCAGAGACTTGGGCTTACTGTTACTTCTTCCTTTTCTTTAAACAACAGACGTTACAGTACCCAGGCAGCAGGCTCACAACTGGAACCACCTCAGTTCTTGATCAGGAAATATCACTTTGTACTATGTGTGTCAAGAGATTTCTGATTCGTGGTTACCCTATGAATTAACAACCTCCAAAATGTCCGGTCATCAACAACCCTACTCTGGTCTTGCAAACTTGAAGGCTGTAGCTTCCTTTATTGAGTCCGTCCATCTCATGTTGGGTCTTCCTCTTTTCCTGCCGCCTTCTGCTTTTCCTAGTGCACTGTTGGCTTTTCCAGTGACTTCTGTCTTCTCCTCACGAGACCAAAGTACGATCGCCTCCATTTAGTCATGTTAGTTTCGAGGGAGAGTTCAGACCAGTACCCCTAAATCTTTAACTTCCTTCACACTTTTTTTTTCAAGGGGGCAATAAATTTTGAAAGACAGTGCTTGTCAGTGAGCATCAAAAATGTACACAGGAAGGTCCTGCAGTTCACTCCTGACTAAAGAAAAAAGGTATATCTCTGTAAGGGTAAAGGCTAGATACTTTTTTTAAGGGGGGGACCCAGAGAATCTGTTTGACCTATCATTACAATGGTATATCAAAATATTGATATTTTAGTGCCTTTAAAAAAATAATAAACCACTGATCTTTGGGGCGAGGGGGAGGGAGTGGTTTGACGATAACCGTGGTCCAGTCATCAAAAACCAGGCAGGAGGTGGGTGTGAGGGACAAAGAAAACCACAGAAACATTACGCACGAGGAAAAAGGCAACTCAAAATCGGCTTCTAGAGAAAGATCAGGGTAAAACTGGGGGAGGGAGGAGGGGAACCAAAGCAAAAACTAAAGGCACAAAGATGCTAAACCAAAGCAGTATGGGGCCAGATCTGACCTCCCCCCCCAAAAGAAAAAAAACAACAACGCAGAAAAGCCCATGGCCAGTAGGAAGTAAGCCCTTGCCCAGGTAGAACTTGGGATATTGCCAATATAACGGACAGAATGAGAAAGGAGAAGGGAAAAGGATTAAACAGGGTGCCCAGAAAAGGGTTAACAATCAAACCATCC